CTCAAAACTGCACCAAAACATAGAAAGATTAAGATGACTGATTTCATCGTTTGAATAAACATGTAATTCGATCTGTCTTATAATTACAAATAATTTATTTCGACAAAGAATTCGACGGTTTAATTTTTATTTTTTTGATGATTTTAACAAAGTTAATTGTAAATATCTCCAGTTCAGAAGTATAACGTCAAATAGGCTGCTTTGTAAATCAAGTGATTCTTATGACTGCGAAATATCACAGAAAGAAAATTATAATTTCATGCATTGCTTGTAATCACATTGATAAAATGTTGCTTTTTTTCTAATTTAAATTTAAAAATGTCTACCAAAATGAACTTCCTTCGAAATGTTTCATTTGTGATAACATGTTTTCGGTTTTTTTAATTCCATAATCTATGTCTGTTGAGCAAAACCCATAAATCATTGACGCATACAAAAGATTGAAAAATATAAAATTGTCTAATTATTATACCTACAAAGCTATCATGATCTTTGTACGAATAATATACGCATATTCGTGTATAATATATATCAATTCGACACATAGATAAATATATAGCGAAGAAAACGTTTGTATGTATATGTAAAGTTTAAAAGATTATGTTCAAATCCACTTCTTGCTCATTTTTCGTAGAAAAGTTCATTTTTAAATTAAACATTCATCTATCGCATGTGTTTTTATGTGGATTTATTTCAGAGTATCGTTATTTGCTACTGCTCAGCATATGACTGAGAACTGAGTAATGCTGAACTCGTACGGCTAACGCATACGAAACGGGTGCACGATACATATTCCCCTTTCGCTAGTTGACGCTATCATTGACGCTATTGCCGCTGCTGTTTCACTTACGCATAAAATACAACGGCATCAACGGTAACACACTATACCAGGGAACATACGAAGTGAAGGAGAACATATAAGAGACTGAGAGCAAAAACAGCACGTCGCATCTCTTGCTTTCACTTCGTATGTTTGGTCATATGTCATATACTTCTATCAATTCGTCTGTTTATATTAAAGGTGGCTGCTATTATCGGGGAAAAAGAAATAAAACAAGGAATATTTATTTCATTTAAAAGAATCATTTTAATAATAATTTTCTTGAATGTGATGCAAATTTTTCGGAACTTGGTCTAATTTAACCAGAAAACCACGATATTATTTTTTCCCAAAAACCTGAAATTCAAATAAATAGAAAAAAGTTTTTAATAGCATAGGTGTTGACGCGAATTTTTATATGATGACGAAAGGAGGATGGGACTTTGTAAGTCAGTTAAAAGTTATTGGTAGCACTTCACATATAAACAAATGGAAATAATATCAGTGATACCAACATAAAAATGAGGAAATCCCATTCTCCTTTTACAGGGGATCTCAAAATCCATGGGAAGTCCTCGCAAGAGTTAATTTTATCTAGTATAAATGGGGTTGGATGACCTTTTTTAAATCTGAACCCTCATCAACACCTAAAAGACTGATATTGTCACTTTTTGCGCAATGCGATTTTCTTAAGAAAGTTTTTAAGTTTAACCGTTCAACGCTCAAAATAACTCGACAAATGTCCTCCAAGGGGCAAGCGTTCAGGATCGCATACATTTATGCGATACATTGAATGAATCGTTTGATGCGAATCAAATAACGCAAACACAACGCTAACGATGTCGCTGTGAGTACGGACCTGACAGCGCACGACGTGCTTATATGATACACGTAATGATGTGAATGTTCAATAAAGCAAGACCGTCGTGTGCTACTAGATCCGCACGTACAACGACAGCGTTAGCGTTATTTGATGCGCATAAAATGATGCATGCATCATTCAATGTATCGCATAAATGTATGCGATCCTGAACGCTTGCCAAGGGATGCTTTCGACGTCGATACATAATGTACTTACTTTTTTTAGTATTCATTGTTTGAATGATTTCAATAATTTTCGCATTTCCTGAATAAAGAAAAGAATGTTTATCTATTATGAATATACAAATTTTTTTTATATTAAATACCTGTTTTTTTAGCTATGTCCAGCGGTGTATCATTGTTACTATTTTTCAAATTAGCATAAGCTTTCTGCCGCTTCAAAATCTCCACAATATTCTCAAACTCTGGAAGGCATAACAAAAGTCACACAGAATTTTATTTACTTTTGAATTAAAATACCATTCTCAACGGCTCTGTGCAGCGGTGACCATCCGTTGTTTTCTTGCTTGTTAACATCGGCACCGTGTTCAATTACCATTATAACGACATCTTCATTACCTTTGAATGAAAAACATGAATTTCCATTTGGTTCATAGGGAAAAAGAAAATCAATTGCAATCATGACCAAACAAATAAAAAAATAAATCAAACCTGCCATAGCAGCGAGGTATAAGGGCGTTTCACCCTCATCGGTCTGTATATTTACATTTGCCCCGGCTTTTAGTAAGAGTTCAACAATGCGGAGATAACCTATGGAAATGATTTTGATACAAAGTTTAGGCATTTTTTATTTTTCGAAACATTTTGTTGACTTTAAAATCACCTTTTTTTGCAGCCATATTTAATCTAAAGTGCAAATAAGAGATGCAATAATTAAACAAATTTCAAGAACGGGACTCAAATAGTTTCTCTACTTACGGTGTCCATCCGTCACTTTTTTTCACATTTACATCAGCACCATGTTTGATTAGTATGTCGACAACACGATCGTGACCTTAATTTGATTAAATTTTTAAAATTTCCTTAAATGTTCATTCACTCACATTGCGCGTGTTAAATATATTCAGAATTTGGAGACTTTTGTTACCATTTAAAGTTGCATCAAAAATGGGAGCACGTCCATATATTTGTTTTAAATTAACATCAGCACCATTTTCAATTAGCAGTAAAACTACATCATTGTGACCTGACAATAGATTCAAGCATTTTAGTTAATGCTTTTTGGATATGTTTATAAAATGCAGCAAATACCATTGGCTGCTGCAGTAAAAATTGGCGTCCTTCCACCTCCATCCAAGATATTTACATTAATTCCATTTGCCAGCAATTCTTTGATTTTTTGTGCATCACCTGTGTGCCCAAAAACGGACGACTTTATAACTTTTATCATACATTTTTTATCACTCACCGGATGCAGCGGCCTTCTGAAACTCGCTCCATGGTTTTCCAGATGACTGAATTGTTGTTAAGGTATTTGTACTTGAAGCACTTGAAGCAGACCTGCCAACGAACACCAACGAACGGTTCGTTCGATCGTAGAATTTTATATTCAATTTTTATGTTTTTTTTTTTGATTTTTCATACAAAATAATAATTTAAACAATAAATGTGACAAATTACAATATAAAATCACTTGTACTCACGCGCTTGCAATGTGATTGATTCCATTATCTGGAAATAAATCGAAATCGCTATACAAATGTTCTAATTTACAGTGATACGCCAAAATCTTTTATGTTTTACTTGACATAAATGTTTGAATTTCATTTAATTATCTATTTTATTAAAACATACCAGGAATGTAATTGCTCAATACTGCACCAAAGCATAGAAAAATTAAGATGATTGGTTTCATCGTTTGTATAAACACTTAATTTGATCTTTCAGAGATATAATTGGGAAAAATAATGAACGGTAAATTTTCTCTTCTCTTTTATTTCGACAAAGAATTCGACAGTTTAATTAATTTTTTTGTGATGATTTTAAGAAAGTTAATTGTAAATATCTCCAGCTTAGAAGTATAACGACAAATGGGCTGCTTTTCAAATCAAGTGATTTTTATAACTGCGAAATATCACAGAAAGAAAATTATAAATTCATGCATTGCTTGTAATCACATTGATAAAATGTTGCCATACTGTGGAAGCGATGTCACTTTCCTAAACAAAATCACTACTGAACTTTGTTCAAGGTATTGGCCCTCTATCAATTGTTTTGGTATTATTTACTAAGCAGTTGTCTGTGAACGATACAATCTCGTGTATTATTGGTTCGGAGAAAAATTGTTAGTGCGTTGGAACAAAGAAATTCGTTTGCTTCCATCCTTTGAATGTTGCTTTTTTCGAATTTGAAAACCGAGAGTCGAGCGCTATCCTACATATATAAATACACTGTGACGTCACACATCTTACACAGAAACGACATCTTTGTAAGACAGACTAACTACAATGTAAAAGTATAGCGAGAGGGGAAGGGAGTAAATAAAAAGGGGAAACAGATACGTTTGATTTACATTGTAGTTAGTCGGTTATTAATAGATGGCGTTTATATAGTGTGCCCTTATTGCGCTTGACTCTCGTTGAAAACATGTTTTCGAGTTTTTATTCCATAATCTATGTCTGTAGGGTAAAACCCATGATACAATCAATGACGCATACAAAAGATTGAAAAATATCATATTTTAAATATGAAATTAGTTATTCCCGCAAAGCTTCCAAGATAATGTTTGTTCGTTTGCACCAGGGCGGTCAGCATCACAGTATCAATTTCTCTTATATTGCAGCGCTATTCACAATAAACAATCAATTAATGTTATTAATGTTGTAATTGTCTAATATTCGCTTCAACGTTATAGACTCTGCGTACAAGTCGAATTTGTATTTTGACCCATTCATATGAACCAAATTTAGTTTACCTAACTAGTTGGAGGTGCAGAGGATTAAGGCTCGCATTTTGACTCTTCAAAATGGAGAACTTTTTTTGAGAAAATAAAATAGAATCGTTTTGGAGATTCCATGAAAAATTCATTTTGGTTTCAAATAAATTATTATTGTTATTGTCGACCATAAACTTATTACTAGTGAATTTTGAAGCAACTTGAGTCAAAGATCACTTTTCAAACATAATTTCCAAATACGAGCCATTTGAGGTCGTTTAAAGAGCTGGAGGAGCATTGAGGCCTCAGAACACTTCTCCTCACATTTATCGCTGAGAAAAACTATTTAAATGAAAATTACGCACTAAACTACAAAATACTTTCCCCTTACACACTAGATGTGTGCGGAAAAGTAATATTCCAATTGAGACACAGCCATCTATAAACTATCAATCACGAATCTCGCCTAAGGATTTAACACCAGAATCTGTTCCAAATGCGGGTAAATTGAGCATTGTGGTGCGGTTTTCAACCACCGGATAAACCGTTCGATACTCTTCAACGTAACGTCGGACAGCTTCAGTTTCGGTAATATTCAAGCTTTGTACTTTAAAATCCTGCAATAAAAAAGGTTGAAAGAAAAAGTTCAACTTAAGTAAAAAAGCGAATAATTATTTACTTTCAACATAGAATAATCGTCGCCGCTATCGTACAAGAATTGAGGTAAAATGACGCCATACACTTTTCTGAAATCAAGTTTCGAATAGTGAGGATGTTCACAATCGGCGCACAAAATTTCTACCGACTTAACTCGATCACCTTCTTTATTTTTCATATCGTAGATAACACGAACGCCTGACATTTGTAGGAATCTACCTCGATTACCGTTGTATTGTTCCACTGAATGTTCAAGTACTTGCAAAATACCGGCACCGGTAATACTCATCAGTAGCATTGAATGTTCAAATGGAACAGTTGTTATTAAATCAAATTTTGTAATTTTGCCACGTTTTATAGACGTACGTATGGCACCGGAATGTATAAAACATACTGCAGCATCCGTCCAATATTCACCTTCGTGCTGTTTAACTCTGGCATGAATGAGTGCATCAGCTACCATATTGCCGAAATTACATTCAGTTTTGCGACATGAATCGCCGTTCAAATGGACCTTTGTATTGCCGATTACCGTTGTCGTTAGATCCACCACTTTCGGTCGATATTTTTCCAACAATGCCAATGTTTCTGGATCTTGTTTTATCGATGCATTCAATAGAATTGGAGCACCAGCCCAATTAATTACATTTCCGTCGGCATCAAACTAAACAAGAAAATTTGAATTTTTAAAATCAACAGTAATCAATGATGACACATTTCCATTGGAACTTACACTTAATTCCAATTTACCAAGGTACTTAGTGTAGGCATAGGCTTGAACCACTGGCACCCTTTTACCGCTGCTTTGTTTGATCACCGTTGGATAGGGGCCAACAATTTCTTCGATGTCCGGCTGTTTGCCGCTATACAAAAATGTATGCGAATGAGCACCCACAACGACGTCGACGAGCGGACAATTTTTCGCTATATCTTGATCAACCTTATAACCAGAATGACCTAACGCAATGATGATTTTGACACCGGTATTTTTTAATGCTTCGGCTTCATCACTTCAAATCGGTAATGAGGGAAAAACCAATAATTTTTATTTTATTTTATTTTATTTTCTTTTTATTTGGAAATGTATGGTATATGACTACAATCAACAGGCCCAAAGCCCTCTTACAGATCATAATCACGAGATAATAATTTTGGGTTTTTAATATTAATGAATAATTGATTTTTAATAATAATGGTGAAAGAATGGTAGAATAATATGAGAGTAAACTGTTTTAAGTTGATAATGATATAAGAAAAAAGAAATATAGTATATAAATGAGGAAATGCAATTAAGTTGCATTAGGAAGTCATAACCTATCTGAAATTAGGCCATAGTTCATTTGGTAATGATGAATTGATAGCATGTTTAGAACGAGTCAACGAATTCTCCAGTAGGTCAATGTCAGAAAAATGATCATTATGTTGTCTTTTTAATCTTAGAGCGAGGGAGAAATACTCAATATTCGTTGTAACTGCCGGTACATAGAAAATAGGTGTGAATCTGGTTACTCTAGCAGGAACATTTATGTTGAATGATTGAGTCAAACTTGTGTTGAATTTCCTCGACATTATTTTATATAGAAATAGTTCATCAAAATACAACCTTCTTGTGAATAATGATTTCATATCAAGATGTTCCAACCTAGACTCGTATGTCCCCCGAGGAATATTAAATTTATAGCATAAAATACGAGTGAATTTCCTTTGTATATTTTCAATTATGTGTGTATAGATATGATAATATGGATTCCAAACTACTGAACCGTATTCAAGAATATTCCTCACATATGTGAAATATAGCATTTTGTGTGTATTGATGTTACTAAATGGTTTTAATGATCTACAAATGAATCCCAAGGTTCTTGAAGCTTTTGATATAATAGTTCTGACATGGTTCTGGAATGATAGCTTGTGATCAAAAATAACTCCGAGATCTTTTATAATATCTGTTCTTTTCACGGTTGAATTATTGATTTTGTAGGCATAATGTTGAAAATTTCTTTCAGATCGCCTTGTGAACGAAACTACTGCACACTTATCAGTGTTGAGTTCCAATTTGTTTTTATCGCACCAATTAGAAAGTTTGGAAAGATCATTTTGGAGCTTACGACAATCGTTGATGTCGCCAATTAAATTGTAAATTTTACAATCATCCGCGAACAGCAAGACATTGCATTCTAATTCATTAGGCAAATCGTTGATGAAAAGCGAAAATAGTAGAGGTGACAGTATGCAACCCTGAGGTACTGAGGAAGAAGGGTGTATTGCGTTCGATTTTATACCATTTACGCATACATACTGAATGCGATCAGTGAGGAATGAGTAAATCCATGTTTTAATGCAGTTACCTAGGGGAAAGTTGTCGAGCTTTTTCATCAATATTTTATGAACCACTTTATCAAATGCCTTTGAAAAGTCTGTATAAATGGAATCAATTTGACCACCGTTAGCCATATTTGATGATAAGAAGTTTACGTATTCTGCTAGGTTTGTTATTGTTGATTTGCTTTTAGCAAAACCGTGCTGTTGCGGAACAATTAAATCTTGAACTTTGTTCTGAATAAAAGAGTAAATTAATTTTTCAAAAATTTTTGATGCTGCAGATAGAATTGAAATTGGTCTGTAATTAAGAACGTTGGATTTATCACCATTTTTATGTAGTGGAGTTATTAAGCTTATTTTCCATTTAGAGGGGAATATTTTTTGGCGTAATGAATTGTTGAAGATTATTTTTAGGGGTTCGTTTATGGAGAAAATTGTTCTTTTGTAAAAGAGTATGGGAATGTTATCTGGACTATTCGTTTTATGTTCATTCATCTGGCTAATAGTGTTAATAATAAAAACAATTAATATAGAAAATACACTTGTAAAAAAAAATGATATTCACTTACTTGATTGCCTCAATTTCTGAAATGAATTCCAAATCATTTTTAGTGGCAAGAAATTTAACTTCTGGTGTAAGATAACCGATGACACCCACTTTGAATTCGTTGATAACAAAAACCACTGACCTTTTCAGTGCGGCAGTTTGCCACACAATATGATCGGCTGAATTTTTTATATTTGCCGCTAATACTGGAAATGTGACATTATTTAAGAATGGCACCAAGCCACGCACACCCAAATCCAATTCGTGATTGCCCAATGTCTACAGTATCAATAAAATACCAAACAAAATGTAAAAAAAAACAGAATCAAGATTTCACCGTTTTTGAACTTTAACAAATAACGATTAAGCACTCGGCTTGGGAATAACCAATTGAATACACGAGAATGAATTTGGATTTTTGGTGGTGTTATACTTTAATGAAATCTCGGGAGAAGTCTCACATTCATTCTCGGACAATCAATTATAAACTCACGCTGGCATCAGGTTTTAGAATATTCATAAAATCCGATACAATTTGATCAGTGAAAATCGTGAACCACGGTGTTCCAGAGTAAGTATCGCCAGCTAAATATGAAATTTATTCACTATTTAAAGTTAATCACAAAACAGCCGAAATATTCCATCAAAATAATACTCACCATTCAAAAATAACACAGCCGGTCCATCTTCATCCGCCTTTTTACGATAGTCTTTCACAACGTATGAAATACGTGCCATGCCACCATAGCATTTGTTTTGATCCATTTCTTTTGAATCACACAATGAAGAATGCTGATCGGTTTGTTCGAAGTGAGCGTGCATATCGTTATTATGTAAAATGATCAAGTCTAATGCTGATTTTTTGTCAAGTCCACTTTGCAAGGGTACTGTTTGTGCTGTATTCATTAAAAAACCAATCACAAGCGCAATGCTAATCCGGTAACATGATTTTATTTGAGCCATTTTTTATTTGTTCACTCCAAAAGCACCAGAATATTATTATTCAATGACAAATGATTCAAATGAAAAACTATTTCAATTTTATTTTTGATAACACAACATAACAATTTGATGAATGAATTGACGTTATTACTTTGAAATTGTTTCACTACCGTCGCGTCGTTGATTTTAAAACAATAAAAGATTGTGTCTCTACACACTGGAAATTCCAAGTTATTTAATCGAAAGTTGAATACTATGGATGTTGAATGAGCATTGAATATTTCGCTGCTCTGTCGATCGACAGACTATTTATAAAGACTAACACATCGCAATATATCGCCGAAAAAGTGATGATGATCTCATTCGATTTTAATAATTTTACCATTTACTCTTTCACTCTTTATTACCATTTGGGTTCATGACGTCTTTATAATTTATTCGAAATGTTTGCACGGTGATAAGACATTTTTTGTATCATTAATATTTAAAGTCTCACATTCATAGTTAGGGTCAAAACATTACATTCGGCCGAATACTGAATATGTTAGAAAATGACCTTATTTTCGACAAAAGACAAATACCACAAAAATCTGGCTCTTCAGAAACGGTTTTTCTTTAATTAAGCACTTTTTTGCTTGAGTTTAGATTATGTTCGGTTCATTCGTTGAAATTTGATGACATTTTATTTACAATTTCAACTTATCAATAACAAATAAGATTTTTTGGGCAATAATAAAATTGAACGAAAAACATCAGAATTATCACCTTAAATTAAATCACCAGCGAATTGAAGGGAAATGCCAAATCCCCGATGGACGATTAACAGATAATTGTTGTATTTTATAACACATGGATAATGAATGAATTTATCACCGGTACTTATTTCCGTAGAAATTGTTGTCGTTCGCTCAAATAACCAACCCACAGCATAGAGTATTAACATATTTATTGAATTAATTCGACTTTTGGTCAATTACTGTAAAATTCGATTCCAAAATGTGCAATGTGCATTGTGCATGCAATATTGCTAGAATTTTAAAGAAATTATAATAAAATCTACTTGTTTATTGAATTAATTTGTTTAATGGTTTAATCTTTCAAATGGGTGAGGATTGAAGTGAGCTCAATGCTCTTTGGTTTTCATCGGGATTTGAGCTCACTTTAATCCTCACTCGTTCAAATAGAAAATAGAAACCTTATAGAGAAACATATGAGTAGTGGAAGGTTACATGAAATGCAATTGGTGCTACTAACGACAACACACAGTGATTTTATAAATTTATACCATCTAAAACTCCGTTTAACTTATAAAAATCCACCTATCAAGTTATCGATATGTTTATGACCATGAAGTTACCATGGCATTCAAAAATTAATTGAACACACGACCATTAATGCAAA